CCCCTCTGGGTGTGTGGGCGTGTGCTGTTCGCTCGTCCGAGGAGGCGAGCGGGACGGACCAGTCCCTGGTCCAGGGCGCTCGCGCCCAGAGCTCGCCCTGGCGAGCGGTGGGCGGCGCTGCCGCGGGGCTCCTGCTCCTGGCTGGCGCCGGCGGCGGGGCAGCGCACTGGGCGCTGCGTGGGCCGGCCTCGGGCGCGGGCGCCCGCCAGGGCAAGGAGCAGACGATCGCCCTGCCCGCGCGCGACCAGTGCGCCAACTGGGACGAGGACTGCTTCAGCTCGGGCCGGCGGCGCGGAGAGGGGGCGCGGGCGAGGGGGGGGGCTTCCTGAGAGGGCAGGGGGCCTTGAGAATCCCTCCTGCTTTCCAGCCGAATCATAATAATAGTAGTAATCATTACACAAAAATGATATTAATAACACTTAAACTTAGAATGCGCAGAATAGCGTAGTGTTAGTTAGACTAATGATAAGGAAGCAATTAATATCAACAGCAGTAAAACTAAAACACACATAACAGTAGTAATCGTAATGGCAGTACTCGAAATAGAGAAATTTTACTACCAGTCGTAGGAAACATAGCAACACACAACATCATTAAACTATCACAACTAGTAATACTAAGACGCATCATACTTATATTTCTGCCAATGCTATTGCGGATAGTATTAGTAATATTAATACTGATGCTACACATAATAGTACTAAGCATACTAACATCAATACTACTTATATGAGTAATTATATTAAGAATCTTATGACACTGCCAATTATAAGGTTAACGCCAACAATAATATTATACATAAAAATAATGCTAATACCAATTAAACTCATGATAGTAACATTTTAATAGAAAAGTAATAACAACATTATACTACTAATAATAATGCTAATAATAGTAACCATCAGATGCGGCATGGACATAACCTTCCAGAGTTCCGCGCGGATTTTCTTGGGTCTGCTCTGGGATCCCGTGGCGGCGCCTCTGGCGCCGCCCCTGGTGCGCTCCGCGCGCCAGGGAGGGGGTCCATCTCCGATCCGAGACATGCGCACGGACCTCCGAAAGTTTATGTTTCTGCCTTTTTTCGTTCCTCTATTCCAAAAGGCCTCCTCAAAAAAGCCCTCTGGTCCATACCAGAAAGAGCCCCTTGGCTTCTCAGGCTGCCCTGCCCCTTGCCACAGCCTCCTTTCTGCTCTGCCAAAAAGGGTGCTGCAACGTGGCTGGCCTGACATGCTTCGAGACCAAGCAGGGGAAGGGCGAATGCTTGAAGAACTGCACGCCCAGCGAGACCAAGCTCTGCAAGCAGCCGCAAGAGATCATGGAGCCAGTCTTGGCGGATGCTGTGCTGTACGACCCGACACTGTACTGCTTCGCGATTGTTATGCAGGACATCGGCAGCACGAAGAAGTACTACGATTTGGAGCTGCTCCAGGGAGCGTACGACAAGGGGATCGGCATCTTCGGTTGTGATTCTTGGGGGGTGTTCAGCGACGCAGAGGCCGATCTTGCGCCCGGCGTTCCCGTTACGAAGGTGGATGACGTCGACGGGGATTTCCATTTCGCGAAGCGGGAGGAGACCGGCACCTGGCTGAACACAGGTCTGCATTACCAGGCTTGGAAGGCCATTCAGGCGGAGGGTAAGTACGCGGCTTACAACTGGGTCGTGAAACTCGATGCGGACGCGGTGATGATCACGAGCCGCTTGAAATACTGGCTGTCAGACAAGTACGTCCCGCCCATGGGCATCTACCTCGAGAATTGCCAGTACGTGAAGTATCCAGCCGCCTGCGGCAAACCCAGTCACCGTGCCAGCGCAGCAGCACAGCAGCACAGCAGGGCAGCAGCACTCCAGTTCAGTGCACTGTCTGATCTGGCGCGTGTCTTGAACATCCCTCCTTGTCCGAAGCCTCGTTCTCCTTTCCTGCTTCCTCCTACACAGCTCCTCTTCCCCCCTTCCGCCTTATTTTCTTCTTCCCTTGAAAGGGATATCGTTCAGGCTTTTGGGGGGCGTCTTTGGGGCCTCCTGGAGGCCGCTTGGAGCCTTCTTGGGGGCCTCTTGAAGACTTCTTCGGGGGGGCCCTGGGGCTCTCGGGCCCCGTCGGGTTTCTTGTGCCGTCTTGGGCGCAACGATTCCACAGGTCTCACAGAAAGGTTCGGTTGATCCCTGTTTGGGATGTTTGGACGGGGCTTGCGTCCGTCTTGGAGGCCTCTTGGGCCTTCTGGAAAAGCTCTCGGGCAGTCTTTCAGCTGCCCTGGGGCAATCTTGGGCCTTCACATTGGGCTGTTTTTGCCGCCTGTTTCAAGCAGGTGGAGCCTCCCCCGTAGGACGCACTGCTGCAAACAGTCGCTCTGAGCAGAGGTCCAGAGCCAGACCCCCCTCCTCTTCGAACCTTCCGCCTAATGTCGAAACGCCGCACAAAAACGCTCCCTTCCTGTCTCGTTGGGCCGTCTTTGTGTTTTTATATCGAAAAGAGTGTCAGGCAGCAGCACAAGATGGGAGCCGTTTTCGGACCCCGCGCGCTTCGAAGGGGGGGCTTTGGCCCCTGAAGCATTACATCAGCTCTACCCGACAAAGCACAAGGATTCTACTACGACGCAGCGTGCCGAATGGCACAGTAGCGGATGGCTGGTTCGGAAGCCTGGAGATCTTCTCGAAGGCCGCGTTCGAGACGCTCCTGGGGTCGATGGCCTCGTGCAAGGACGGTGGGATCGATTGGAAGGTGGGCATCGATGGCGGCAAGTATGGCCCCATGGGCGAGGATCTGTTTGCGCAGGCCTGCCTGGACGCCAACGGCGTCAAGCGCGGGATCGGATACGGCTCCAAGCTGGACGGGACGTGCGAGGCGGACCGGCCCCTCTCGGAAAAGAAGAACAAGAAGTGGAAGCCTAATTGCGACACCGTCGCCACCACAACATACCACCCGTTCATGAAGCCGGAGGATTCCGAGCGCCAATTAGTATACATTCTTTCTCTCACGCACATATATTTACATGTATCTATATCTATATCTCGGAGATTGGGGGTTGTGAGTGGAAGTGACCCCAACCGGGAAATCGATTTCGGTTTCGGTTCGTGTCGTGCGTGCGGGCGAGGCGAAGCTGCGCGAGTTCTTACACTTGTAGAGGCCACATGGAGCCCCAAAAAGGTCGCCCGCCCCCCCCGCCCCCCCCGGCCGGGCGCGGCCCCCGATGGTTGTCCTGCGGGTTGTCTTGATGGTTGTCCTGATGGTTGTCCCGATGGTTGTCCCGATGTTTGTAGATGGTTGTCCCGATGGTTACCCCGATGGTTGTCCCGATGGTTGTCCCGATGGTTGTTCCGATGGTTGTCCCGATGGTTGTCCTGATGGTTGTCCTGATGGTTGTCCCGATGGTTGTCCCGATGGTTGTCCCGAAGGTTGTCCCGATGGTTGTCCCGATGGTTGTCCCGATGGTTGTCCCGATGGTTGTCCCGATGGTTGTCCCGATGGTTGTCCCGATGGTTGTCCCGACGGTTGTCCCGACTGTTGACCCGATAGAGAGGTCGATCGATAGATAGATAGATAGATAGATAGATAGATAGATATATAGATATATAGATATATATATATATGGATAGATAGATAGATAGATATATATATATATATAGATAGATATATAGATATATAGATAGATAGATAGATATATAGATATATAGATAGATATATATATATAGAGAGATATATAGATATATAGATAGATAGATGGATGGATATATAGAAATATAGAGCTATATATAGGTAGACTGATTGATGTGTCGATTCGATCGACAGAAATATAGATATATTGATGGACATGTGAGCATGGATATCCCGCGCACTCTTCGCACATCGACCGCCTCCCCCTTCCCCCCTACCTCCTCCTCACCCGTAGGGTGGTCCTATCGGTATGTGTATAGACGTACAGATCTACAGACATCATGGACGTTCAGAGGTCTGCCCAGATCTCTTGGGTCGGTGCTGGCCCACCCCCTCCGCACACCCCTTCAAAGGGCGCGCGCAGCGCGGCACGGGCGGCGTCGGAGGCGCCGCGGGGGGTGCGGGGAGGGGGGCCGGCGCCGACCCCGGGAGGCCCGCGCGGCCCTCCGCCGGGGTGTGCCATGTGCCGTTTCCCGGGGCCCTCCAGGACTACTGGGCGTGCTACGAGTCCACCATGAAGGCGTTCCCGGTGTACCCGCCGCCCGCCGCCCGCTGACCTCGGCGGCGCCCTCCTGGCGCTCCGCGGCCCTCCGCCCCTCGCGCCTGCCCCCCCCCCCCGCCTGCCCGCCGCCGTCCGCTCGCCCCCCCCCCCGGGAGGGTGCTCCGCAGAGGGCATCTATACGCCGCCGCCGTGCCTGGACAGGGCCATCTTGGGCCCCAGGACGGTGCACAGAGCCTCCTGGCCCTGGCAAGGACGGCATGTACACCATGCCAGGGCCCAACAAGGGCCTGGGCAGGCACGGCTGCGCTGTCTATGTGCGCTCTGCATAGGCGTAGCGAGTCCGAATTTGCGGGCGGACTGTTGGGCGGTCGCATGCTCCCATCTGCGACGTGAAGACGTCGAGAGTTCGAGCTGGGCGCGTGGGCGCCCGTTCGAGAATGGGGTGAGCCATTGCCCGACGCCCCCCTGCCCGCGTTGGACGGCCGCTGCTGCGCCAAAGTCTGCACGGCGGCACGCCTTTTTTTGCCAGCGGTCGGCTACGAGATTTTGGCTGGGACGTCATGAGGCCGCGAGGTCAAGCCGACCTTGCGAGCTTGTGTGCGACAGGCAAGGTGGCTCGAAGTTTGCCTCCCCCTCCACCTTCCCGCTAGCAGACGGACCCAGCAGGCCCTACGCAGGTAGAGTTTGAAAGTGGGCGTCAATACGTTGGTAGTTCGAATTGAGTTTACGAACCTTACGCGAGATGCGTTCCCTCCACCCGATGTAGTTGTTTTCCATCACGGGCGCACTCTCTTGTTCGTGCCGCCCAGGCACGTCCAATGCAAATTCGATATTGCCCGCTCACCTCTTCCTCTCTCCCGCTCCTTCGCCGCGCAGCACCGGCTGCACTCCTCGGGCTATGCCACTGGCTGGGAGGCGTCCCCTCTCCAGGCGGCCCCAAAAAACAGCGACCTTTTGTACTCGGCGTGCGGATTGCTGGCTGACGCTGTGACATGCAAGCGCGCGCGCACGGGACGTCCACGGGCACGCTGCGTCTGCATGGCGCCCGAGGGCGGACAGCGAGCAGCAGCGGCGAGGCAGCGGACAGCGGACGCTGGACGGCAGCGAGCCGCGGAGAGCGGGCAGCGAGCGGCGGAGAGTTGAGGTTCGAGAACCGAGCGAAGACATAAGCGTAGCAGAACCATGACAACTCGGAGGTCCGCGCGGATTTGGTGGATCGGCGCTGGACCCCCTCCCGTCCCTGGCGCGCGGAGCGCGCCAGGGGCGGCGCGGGAGGCGCCGCCAGGGGGCTCCAGCGCCGATCCAAGAAAGCCGCGCGGACCTCCGAGCTGTTCTGTTAATGTCGGTGTTCTGCGTCCCTCCTCCCTCCTCTTCCTGCATGGTGGCACAATGCGCTCCGACGGAACTCCCGTTCATGCCTCTATCGCCAGCGCAGTCACCCTCTGCCTGGCCGCCGACGCCGAAAGTTCATGTCGATGTTTGGTTTGCTTGGAGAGGAGCGCGCGCGGCCCGGCGGTCCGCCGAGGTGGGGACATGCAGGCGAACTACGCGCAGTCCAACGCCTGCTTCGGCGCGCGCGCGCGCCCCCTCCGCGCCTCGCGTGTCTCCCCCCCCCTCCGCGCGGCGCCCTGGTGGGCGCTGTGGCCGAGCGTGGGCCGTGGCCGCCCGCGGGGCGGGCCGTGAGAGGAGGACGCGCGGAGGCTTCGGGGCTCAAGGGACGGGGGTCGATGCACACGGGGGTCGGCCAGGGCGCCAGATCTTTCAGGATCCTGCAGGGCTAGGGGCGCACTCACTGGCCCAGGTTGGGCGCAGGATTCTGCAGGAATGCTGCAGGATTCTGCAGTATCCTGCAGACTCCTGCAGGGATGCGCGGAGGTTGCGTCTCTTTGTTCGACTAGACGTACGAGTGACCCTTCGCCGGAGTGACCTCTGGTGCCGGCCACTGGGGTCCCCCGTTCGCCGAAAAAGCGGTGCACTAGAAGCGTCTTGCGCGCCTGTTGTGTTTGTCCCCCCCGGCCCCCCACGAGCCGCGCACCAGAGGTCGCTCTTACCCAGGGTCACGCTTGCGGGTAGCCGACTTGGTCCGTGTGCAGCAGGTTCGGGTCGTTCGAAAAACAAGAAGACGCGGCACAAGCATACACGCTGAGACCTCCGCGCGGACTTCTTGGACCAGGGCTGGGCGCCCCTGGCGGCGCCTCCGGCGCTGCCCCAGATGCGCGCTCCAGCGGCGCTGGGGGCGGGCGCCCAGCGCCGCTCCAAGAACTCCGCGCGGGTCTCCGAAAGCGCATGTTTGTGCAGCTTCTTTTGTTTTCTTCGTCTACTTGTTTCCGTGTGAAGTAGGCTCATGATGATGATTATTATGCTGATGATGATGATCATGATGATGATGCTGGTGATGCTGATGCTGATGCTGCTGATGCTGATGCTGACGCTTATGATGATGTTGCTGCTGATGCTGATGCTGATGCTGCTGATGTTGATGTTGATGATGATGATGCTGATGATGATGATGCTGATGATGATGTTGACGCTGATGCTGATTATGATTATGATGATGATGATGCTGATGCTGATGCTGATGATGATGATGCTGATGATGCTGATGATGTTGATGATGATGATGCTAATGATGATGATGCTGATGCTGCTGATGATGATGCTGATGGTGATGATGCTGATGATGATGATGCTGATGCTGATGCTGATGCTGATGCTGCTGCTGATGATGATGATAATGCTGATGCTGATGCTGATGATGATGCTGATACTGATGCTGCTGCTGCTGATGATGATGATGATGATGATGGTGCTGATGATGATTTTGCTGCTGATGATGATGATGATGCTGATGATGATGATGCTGATGCTGATGATGATGCTGATGATGATGATGATGATGATGATGATGCTGCTGATGCTGCTGATGATGATGATGATGCTGATGCTGATTATGATGGTGCTGATGATGCAGCTGATGATGATGATTCTGATGATAATGATAATGCTGCTGCTGATGATGATGATGCTGATGATGATTCTGATGATGCTGATGCTGATGATGACGAGTATGATGCTGATGATGGTGCTGCTGCTGATGATGATGATGCTGATGATGATGCTGCTGATGATGATGATGATGCTGATTATGCTGATGATGATGGTGATGATGATGATAACTCTCTGCTGCTGCTGATGATGATTATGATGATGATGCTGATGATGATGCTGATGATGATGATGCTGATTCTGATGGTGCTGATGATGATTTTGATGATGATGATAATCCTGCTTCTGCTGATGATGATGACGATAATTCTGCTGCTGCTGATGATGATGATGATGATGCCG